TCTATCTATCTATCTATAAAAAGTAAAACTACACGCAGTAGATTTCTGACACTGAACAGAGCTTTTGTGGACAGTTTGACACACACAGAGCTCGTCTTTGTGCTCTTCTGCTCGCGCTGCATTCAGGGAACCAAGAGGTTTCCCCCATGTGATTGCAGGCAGCATCTTTTGCACAGCTTTAAAACTACGAGACGACCAGCAGAAGTACAGGAATGAGCTTACAATGCATGTTTCCCAGAAGGCCTGTAATGTAGTGTGTGTGATGTATTTTTAGTACATACATGATTACATATTTAAATAATAGGTAAGTAAGTGTAGGTTTAAGAGGATTATGGTTGAAGAACGTGAGAATTGTTAAGCTTTAGAGAGTTTATTTTTTAACTTTGGACAGAATCAGGTTCCCAGTCTTTATGCTAAGGTACACTAAGATAACCTTGTTGTGTCTGTAATACCATAATGTAAGTAATGCTAAAACTACAAGTTAAAGGGCCGTTGTGTAGGATTTAGTGGCGTCTAGCAGTGTAGTTGCATACTGAAACTCCAAAAGCAAAGGAGAAACCACAGTGAGCACAAACTCCACTATCTACAGCCAGTCTGGTTCGCCCATAAATGAGAAATATTAATGTTAATGGACTAAACACATGGTATAAATACAATATTAGGAATAATAACAGATAGGGGGGTGGGGTTTATCAACTCAGGACACTTCACACAAAAAAATAGAATAAACTAGCCAATTATGAACAATTCAAATTTAAGTTAAACAACAGACTGGAGGTATTATTAAAATTAATTAAATTGGATGGTGATCCATTTATCGCTTTAATGTAGCAGTGATAATTATATTTATAATGCACACTATTGTTGTAATAATTATGTATTTATTATTGAATTTTTTCCTTGTTATATTATTATTTTTCTGTCCATTAATGGTTTAATTATATACTAAATAAGAAAACACTGTTACTGACACATAATGAGGATTTTACTTTCGGGTTACTGTCTCTTTAAGAGGTTTGTTTGCGGAAGTCGGTCCGTTCACTAAATGAGTCGTTCCTACCTTCCCCTCCGGAGTCACAGCACTGATTCCCTTTCGTGAACCTGCTCCCTGACCACATAAATCCGCTGTACTCGCAGTAATTGCTAGAGAAAGACCTTGTTTGAGGAGAGGAATCGTCCATAAACTGGAACTTTAACGTTAGCTGGAGCTGAAAGTCAAGATGAGTGAGATACCTGGTGAGTTCACTTACACAATGCAGCTGTAATGAGATAAAGACACCTCTTTTTAAATGTTAAATGTAGTTAAACGGGAGATATTTGCACATTTTGTAGCCACCAGCTAATATTAAATATGTGCAGGAGCTTATTATTATCCAGTTATATCAGCTGTGCAGCATTACAGGTTAAAGGTTAGTCTTAAAGGAATATTAATGTGCATTAATGTCAGTTAATCTGGAGTCAGGACAAAAAATACATTCAAAAGTTCCTTTGAAGCTAGTTCTGTGCAGAGTTAACCAGATCCAATGGATGTTTACAGTGTCTGTAATGTACAGTTACCTCTTTGTGTTTCCACACACACACACACACACACACACACACACACACTGTCCCTGTTACAGGGCGTCTCAAATCCTATAATCTGAATTTTAGGCCTTAAAATAAAACTTTAAATGTCTTAAATATGATTCCTGACTTAAGTTAAAGTTGCATTTGTATTGATCTTCCTTTAACTACAAAACCAAACTGACATAGAACTAATAAAATACTAGTATGGACATGAAAAAGGTCTTAAAGTCTTAAATTTACCTTGTTGAAACCTGTTTGTTCTCCTGTAACACTGTGTCCCATTGTCACGTTGTCAATTAATATATTGTTTAAAAGCAGCAATTATAGCTTCATCAGAAGGTTGATTTAACACAGAACAAATGTTGTATTTATGTTGTTGAGACGTTTAAGGGAAATTCCTGTATTTGTTAACCTCCGTGTTCTTATATTTATTTATTATTTATTTATTATTTATTTGGGGAACAATGTGGAGCGAGCACAAGCCTCCTTCAGCTTTCTAACAAACTTTATTTGCACAGAAATCCTCTTTAACCTCTTCCTGCTCAGCTGTTAAATAGACTCACATTTAGAACAGATGAGAACAAACATCCAGGTTTCTCTTCATTGTACGAGCAGTGTAACATTTAACCCGTCTCCTGTCCTGCAGCTCCCTCCGTCCGTCAGCATGGACTCTGATAACGACGTGCTGATGAAGGAGTACATGAAGATGATGACTGATATGATCGTGCTGTGTGCCACTCTGGCACTGTCCCTCTTCTTCTGGGTCACCTCTCTCACCATCAGCAGCTACTACGGTGAGCTGGAGAACCTATTCCAACGTCAACGTTAACGCTAGAGGTTTTAAAAGGGTTAACTTTGGTATTTTTATAACCTCGGCCTATATTTTCTAATGTGCGGACATTAGAAAA